CTGCTGCTCTGCTGCTGCTCTGCTGCTGCTTCCGCTCAGTCTGCATTTGCATGCACCGGCTCAGCCGAGTTGCGAGTCAATGCGGAGGCGCCAAATTTCACCAGTGTGAGATCAACCTGTCACTAACAAACAAGTGCGAAAAGAATTCGCCGCTGCCGGCCACTTTCACGGCCTTTCAGGTGGCTGAGCCACGTGCAATGAGGTCACCTTCTCGCACCCACGCCATTCTTGCTTTTGCCCCGCCATCCTTGGTCTTATCGCGGCAGCGGCTGCTCCTGCACAGCTTCGACACATGTCAACCAAAGCAAAACACACGCAATGACCGCCGTTGCGCACCTCGGCTACGGCGTGGCTCTCACGCCCCCGGACATGCGACAAGCTCGCCCGCCTCGCCCGCCTCGCCAGCCCTCGCTTGCTGCCTGCCGTGGCGTATTTGACGAAGAGCGCCTGCATCCAGTGCTGCGCACGTTCTAGACCGCGAGTAAGAAGTTGCGAGAAGTTGAGGTTGCCTACGCTGTGGCGGTATATACCTTGCGCACCATGAGCGGGTGAGCTGGGTTACTCTTCCGCATCCACCATGTCGCCAACATTCTCCAGAGACACTTCCGGGACGAACAACGCGGGCGCGAGCACCACATCTTCCACCATGTACGAAGCTGTGGCAGGCACGGCGCAACGCATCTATCCCATCGCCTCGAATGTGGTCGGTGAGATGACGGGCTTTGCTGCACTTTCGGAATCCGATTCGGCGCCCACGCAACCAACGCAGTCTGCACAACCAACCGAATCGAACGAAGCGAACGAATTGCCCACACGCGACTCGAGCGCATCCGATGGTGCCAACGAGCGCATGGCGCGCCATGACCACGACGAGGAGCATCAGCGTGGACCGTCCGAGTCGTCGCGCGTCGACCAGCCACAGCACAAGATCGGCACCGAATCCGGCATCCCCACCACCGCCGGCGCCGGCACCACACTCTCTCCGGACCAAGACGTTGCTCCTGCAGCGGACAAGGCCAAGCAAAAGCGCAACAACGCAGCCGTGGGTGTAGACTACTCGGACCAGCCATGTCCCACCGCAGACGCACGCCGTCCCAAAGCCTCGAGCTCGCCAGCGGAGGGCAAGACGCAGTTTGTAGACCGCCACGAACAACTGCATGGCTCCGAAAAAGGCTCGCATCGCACATCACAAAGCTTGCACCACCAAAATCTAGAGCAAGAGCAAGATCAAGGTCAAGATCAAGACCAAGAGCAGGATCAGGAACAGGAACAGGACCAGACGCAGCAGAATTCAGCAGGGTGGAAGAACAAGCTCAAGGCCAACACCAAGCTCGCCGTGGGTAAGATCACGCACAACCAGACCAAGATTGAGGATGCGCGCGCAATGAAAGCCGGCACCACTCCAGCTGCAGTGTAAAGTAGATCAGACAGAATACCACGCCACCATCGCGATAAGATGCTGTTGCAAGGACGTGGTTGGGAGCAGAAGTGTCGTGCGGGATGCCTGAGTAGTCTCGTGCGAATTGTGGTAATTGTGGTAAAATGTGGGGGTGGAGGATGTCATGCCCGCGTTATCCGCGCGTCATGCTTTCCATCAATTCTTCTTGCTTCCAGCCGCTGTGCTCGCCGGGTTGTTTTGCTACCATCATCACTGTTTTGCCATCATGACCAGCCTGGAGCCGGTGGAGATAACGCTCGAGCCCGTGTTTCGGGTTACATGCCCCGTCGAACCCGCGCACAACGTGGGTGACTCGGGCGAAGGCGTCCGCAAGATCGTTCCCATCGCTCCCGGTGGCACCATCACCTCCCCCATCGCGGCCCTCGACGGGGCAGTGGGAATGCATGGTGGAAGCGACTACTTCCGCACCGACCAGTTCGGCAAGACCCGCCTCGACGCAAGGTACTTTTTCAAACTCAAATCTGGTCGTAAGTTTTTCCCCCTTTCCCCCCACTCGATCATCTGCAGAAAAACAAACTGACACTTGAGGAGGAGGATAGACAACTTGTACTTTCAATCGTCGGGCGTGCGCTTTGTGCCAAGCTCGTATCCGGACCAGACGGCTGTGCAGAGAATCATGCAGGGCGAACTGGTCGATCCGAGCCAGTACTACTTCCGTCTCAAGCTCATTCTGGAGTGCGACGATCCCGACCCGCAGGTGCAAGATCTGGTGTGCAAGGTGGTGATCGCCTCGGCGGTTCGAACCACCGACACCGTCATGTACCAAGCTTATGTTGTCAACTAGTCCACACAGTGGAAGCGGAACTGTCATTCGGTGTGTGCGACTACTCTAGACTTCCGGGCATCTTGGTGCCGAGCGTGCGCCGGGCTCCACCGCGTCGTTTGGCGGGCGAGGAAACTTCGCTCATCTCGACCGCTTCGGGTTCGACACTGCTGAGACGGTTGGATCTGCGCACACCACCCCGTGCCGCAGGAGCCCTTTTGGAGCTCTTCGAGGGCTTGGCGTCCGCATCGCCCGCCTCGCTGATGGTATAGATCGTACTCGCTGGGGCAGCGTCCGCCTGACTGCCATTCACGCTCTCGAGCTCGGCAGTGGCGGCACGCGTGCGGCGCGCAATCGGCAGGGCAGCCTCATCCTGACGCTCGTGCTGCTCCAGGTTCGACAGCGTGAGCGGCTTGCGGTTCGCCGCACTCGTCGAGCGCGTCGTGCGCTTACCCGCCAGCGCAGTCTCGGTACGACTCTTACTCAGCCCACCAGCGGTAGAGGGGTCGACCTGAAGGCCGGTGCGCGAGCGCGTCATGCGCGCCTTGCTCGGCGTAGCCTCCTTGCGTGAACGTCGCTTCGCAGGCGGTTGCGCCTCCCCCTCCACCTCGACAGCCTCGTTCCATCCCCGTCGTCCAGGCACCAGACGTCCAATGCTTACATCCGCCTTGGACTGACTGCGCTGCACAAACGTATCGTCCGCTCCATCCTCGCTCTGCTCGACAACATCCGCATCCGCATCCGAGTCCGACTCGACCTCGACCGTGTCGCGACCCAATCGGCTCTTCTTGCCGTGCTGCGAGACGAGCGCCAGCGCGCCCCCGAGCTTACTGCGCGTGGGCACGGTGGGCGAGCTGCGCGTGCTCGCTGCGAACGGCGACGTACTGGCCGGTTGGAAGCCGCGCGGACTGCCCTGGTACGGCGA